GTTGCTAATATTAATTGTGTTGAGTATCTGGCCCCCATTAACCTTTTTAGTGAAAACTGAAGGAGAATTAAACACTTTAGCCTTCTTGAAGTGATCAGTTATTAGCTTTCCTTCCCTGTTAAGTAGAGGACCTGTGCTTTCCTTGGTCTTATTTTTTATCCTAGTATGTTAAAAAAAACAACAACCCTTTTCTTGTGTCTACATGTGTATACTGTTTTGTACTCCTTAGCAATTTGCCTGTTTCCACTTTTTATAAGATTCCTTTTTGATTTTTCAAGTAAAGGGCTCCTGATGGAGCCATACTGGCATCTTCCTATCTTTCCTTGGCATTGGGATAGCTTGGAGTTGTGCCTTTAATATTGACTCCTTGATAACTTGCCAGCTGTCCTGAATTCCTTTGTCCCTTAGATTTTCTTCTTATGGGACCTCACCTACCAGTTCTCCAAGTTTTTGTTAGTCTGTTTTGAAGTCTGTTATCCTTATTCTGTTTATCTCACTCCTTCCTTTCCCTAGAGTCATGAAATCTATCACTTCATAATCACTTTCACCCAAAACGATCTTTCACCTTCATATTCACTACCAATTCCTCCCGTTTGGTCAGAATCCAGTCTAAAATCGCTGCCTCCCAGGTTACTTCCTCCACCTTCTGAAACAAAAAGTTGTCCCCACTACATTCCAAATATTTAGTGGAAATGGTCTATTTTTTCATATTGCTTTTCCAGCAGATATCTGGGTAAAGTGCCCCATTTCTACTAGGTCTTCGGTTTTGGATATTTATTTGTTCTAAAAATGCCTCATTCAGTTCCTCTTTCTGATTTATTGGTCTATAGTAGACCCTTTCCATGAAGTCACCTGTTTTTTGTTTTGTTTTAAACCCCTTTTACTTCTGCCAAACACACATTCAACTACCATTCTACATCTGCTGAGAGTGTAACTAAATCGTCTTTTGTCAGGGCCTCCAAGATCAGGAAATGGTTTCATAAACCCAGGCAAAAAGGGTCCCTGGGGTCCCTTAGAAAAATAGTGGGGAAAGTTACTCCATTTATGACCATATCATTTGGTTGGAATAGCCTGTCCAGGAAGGTAGAAGCTCAATCAGCGGAAAATCTTGGTGTCATGAACTTTTCCAGTGCATCCATAATTTGGCCTCAGTGGTTGACAAGAGCCTGTATAACAATGGAGTAGTGCCCTTTGTGATTTATGTATTCTTGTGCTCCTTGAAGAGGGCAAACTATGGGCACAGGAGTCCCATGGCACAATTAGGGAACCCCATTGTCTCAAAGTCAGCAACTACTTAGGGACATTGTTCATGCTCACCACCTTTGGGTAGGTTATATACCTGATTGCCTCGAAAACCACAGCTCCAGCAGTTGACTTGCCAACACCAAGTTGGTAATCAAAGGAGATGTCCGGAGTGGCTAGCTACCAGATGGTTATAGTAACCCACTTCTGGAGCAGCCTGGCCGCCCTCATGTGTGAGTCGTGATGCTGGAGGACTGCTCCACAGAGCTCTAGAAATGTTGCTTTCTTCATGGGAAAGTTCTGGAGCCACTCCTGTGGTCATCCCAGGTGTGCATGACAATGTGATCCTAACAGTCTGTGTTTGTGGCCCTGCTCCAGAAGCACCAGTCTATCTAGGGGGCAATAGCAGCTATACCGCGAGCTGTGAGCAGCATCAATTGAAGTATGCTGCATCTGTATTGTCATTGTCCTCCTCCTCCAAAAGATGCCTTTGGTAGATCAGAAAACACTGCTAATATGTCCACCAGCATCTCTTGGATGCTCTGCCTGTTTCCTGGCACAGGAGTGAAAATGCAAGTAGGAGAAGTTCTTCAAATGGTGACTCCTCTATGGCCGACCCAGCACCCCCTCAGTTCCTTCTTACTGCCTGTGACAGTCGTTGGAACTGTGGAGGGCGGCATAGCTGATCTCCACCTCCCTAGCTCTTTACTCGTTGTACTGTAGATAGTTGTTTAGTGTAGATTTAATAGTTTTAACAGTTATAGTGTAGTTAATAGTAAGTTTTATAGATCGTGTAGATAGTACTTGGAGGAAATGGGGTTTATCCCCTTCCCTCTTCCCCGGTACCAGGGCCCATGCCTCCGGGTTTCAAGCCTTGCTTGGCCTGTCTCAAGCCGATGCCTGCCAGAGACCCCACGACTCCTGCTTGAAGTGCCTGGAGGAATCCCATCAGCCAGATAAGTGCTGCATTTGTAAGGCTTTCAAGCCTCGGACAAAAAAGGAGCGGGACTTTTGTTTAAAACCGCTCCTAATGGAAGCGGCACTTAGCCCGGTGCCCTCAGCATCGCGCACAGACCAGGCGCCGTCGGTCCGAAGCGTGCCTCTGGCACCAGAACGACCCAGCACCAGCAAAGACTCTTGGTACCAGCCATCTCCGGCACCGGTACAGATGCGACATCACTCGCTGTCTCCGCGGCCCAAGAAACAGCACAAACCACTTGCTGCTCTTGAGCAGTTGCAGGCGCCACCTGTGCCCCCGTTGGAGCAACGGCCTGTGTCGGACCGCCCCCTGAAGGCTCCAACTCCGGCACTGTAGATTCCGGTGCCGGAAGCGCTGTTGAGTCAGGTGCACACCGTGGTTGAGCTCAGCCTGCCGTCCACTCCGGAGACCTTCTCCACTGCTCGTGACCTGATCACACTGACTGAGCCTGGACCGTCTCATCTTCCGACACCGCCAGTGCAGACTATTCCATCCATAGGGAAGCCTGTCTTCATGAGACCTCCATCGCAGAGCGAGACAGCTCGGTACCGATCTTGCTCCCGGTCCAGGTCGCAGTCCCGATCCCGCCGATGGTCCCGGTCTCGGCACCGATCCCCCATCTCAGCGCCGGTCGTACTCGCGGCGCAGCTCTGCCTCACGAAGGTCTCTCTCCCGGTATGATCGGTATCGATCCAGGAATGGATATGAGCAACACATCTCGAAGAACAACAGTTGCTCATATCCATTCCAAACCCGCCCTCCTTCCCCACTGTTGGAGTAGCCGGCAAGAAGGAATTGAGGGGGCGCTGGGTCGGCAGGGGCATATATCCAGCGCCATAAGGGTGCCACTCCATGGGGCACTTCAGCCGACCCACCAAGTGTTGTTAGGGTAAAAATCTTCTGATGATAGTGCACGCTACACGCGCACAACTAATTGGAATGGATATGAGCACCACATCTCGAAGAACAACAGTTAGAAAGGTGATTAACCGTCTTTTCTTCAAATGGTGACTCCTCTCTGGCTGGCTCTGGTTGCTGGGAGAATGCAGACTCAAAAGTCATCTCAGCTGGATGTGTTTGTGGGCTATGACAAATTCCTCTCAAGTGCTGTGGGATGGATAGTCAAGCTTTCCCACAGAGCACCACGAACAATGGACTAGAGTGACTACAGCTGACAAGGTCACTTAGCAGCATAGTGCTATGATTCTATAGGCTGGTTTGACTCAGGTCTGCATAGTGCACTGTGGACACACAAGTGTGAGACCCACGTTCAGAAATTCTATCTTAGGGTCAATATTTAGTGTGGATGCTCAAACATGAGCTTACAAATACCAAGCCTGTGGCTTGAGTCCCCCACAGACCTGGCTTTATGTCCCAGTGTGGACCTAGCCTAAGAAACCTCTTCTCTGTTCACACTCCTCTTCCCACTATTGGATCCTCACCCCACTGCTGAAGCACCTACTGCTGGGGTCTGGCAGGGATAACCTTACTGATTTGGGGGCAGCTCTGGCATTTTCACCATGGGAATTAAGAAAACCTGGTGTAGTCTGAATAGGACTGTGTGTACTTAAGCAATCCTCCTCTATGTTCCTACTCCTCTCTTCCCACCATTGTTTTGCTTCCATAGGCATTGAACTCTACCACATGGAGTTAAATGGCAATTGTTGTCTTGTAGATGGACATAGGCGAGCCTTAGCTCTGATCCATTTGCCTTTCTAATGATGCCTAGACTGGGAGGAGCTGAGGCTGGCTTATCCCAGGGAACAGGAAGGCAAACTAGTTCCCCCCACGTGGGCTCATATCCATGGAGAAGAGAGGAATGAGGAGACAGGTTGGTCTTTCTGAAAGTCTCCCTGTGTTGCTCAAGTCTCAATTGCCAATTTCCTTTCACTACTCCTGGTAATCTCAGTTGAGCACCATAGTGATAGTAAGCTTAGCGTTTCCCAGTCCTACCCTCCAGCAACTACCTCATCAGGAGAAGGTGCACAGAAATGCCTTATCCTCATTTCAGGACCTTATTCAGTTCTCATGAAGGAGTAAGAGAGAGACATGGTGATCCCCTATTGGCCCCAGGGAACATACTTTTAATAGTCCTAGCACTCCATAAACCACAAAGCTCACTAACCTGCCCTGGTGCGTCTCACATTAATATGGAGTAGTGTGTATGGTATTAGGGGACTAACTGATAGATATCCTTTAACTTTTGTTATACGTTATCCTTTTGTTAGTGATGCCTTCAAGATATTATGAATTTGTGCTTTAATTAGTTCAGTATTGTGCATTTCTAATGATAGGTTTATTGCAGTGGTTCTCAAACTTCTGTACTGGTGACCCCTTTCACATAACAAGCCTGTGAGTGCGACCACCTTTATAAATTAAAAACATATTTTCATACATTTAACACCATTATAAATGCTGGAGGCAAAGTTGGGTTTGGGGTGGAGGCTGACAGCTCGCGACACCCCATGTAATAACCTCACGGCCCCCTGAGGGATCCCGACCCCCAGTTTGAGAACCCCTGGTTTATTGTATATAACAGTCTAGAAATGTAGTAGATAGATGGATCTGTAAGGTAGGAATATCAGTACTTTCATCTGATATATACTACCATCAGTTGTTCTCATAATTCAAATTAATTTGTGGGAATTCATCCCCCTGGTGAATTTGTTCCTTAATCTTTATTTTACTCAACTATGTACCTTATTTGGGTATGTATTACAAATGTAAAAAGATTCCTTTAAAAACTGATTTTTCTCCCCTCCCCTCCCCATACAACCAGAACCAATTGATGATGTGATAAAGCATATTTTGAGGCTGAGAGGCAAACTTGGCTGGCAAACAGTATTACCACCACGTGGATACATAGCTGAAGAGACGAAGGCAACTATAATTCAGAAGATTGCACTTCAGGTAATTTTCTTTGTTTGTCCGTAGAATTTTGCCTTGTGAAAATGAGAATTGAATGTAAATTTAGTTAAAATAGTTCTCTTGCCTATTTTTTCCCCCTGAACATAATTCTGTCCTTAAATCAGGAGAACAGAATGCTCAGCCTGAGTAAAACATTAGTAGGATGGGGCCTAAACCTTTAAAATCAGAAGTGATATAGCCTCGTAAGAGGCTCGTAAGAGGAAGAGACATTCTGGGGAGTGGAAGGAGCGTGACACCTTGAATAGTGATGCCTGGCAGTGCTATATTTGTCACCAGGTGTCCTGGGAGGGCATAGTAAGAAGTGGCTTTTAATAAAGTCTGTACTGTGAGCAGCGTTAGCCAGATATTTCTTCACATTCACTGGAGTGCTGATAGCCAAAATATGTCTGTCCCTTTGTAAGTGCAGTAGTGATGGTAAGAGGCCTTCTTGTGTTCTCTCTTCAATAAAGTGCACTCTTACAGAGCCAGACATAGTTTGGGCCTGTGTATGTAGAACAGCAAGTTATGCAAGTCCTATTGGGGCAAGTATTCTTTGTCATCATCAACAACAGAAAAGCAGTCTCTTTTCATTAGAAATTCTTCCCTATTTAGAACTGTTACTGATGCCAATGCAGCTACATTGGTGGTAGAAAATGTTTTAAAAAAAAAAATTCAGTGTAGACAAGCAACAGAGGGTCCTGTGGCACCTTTAAGACTAACAGAAGTATTGGGAGCATAAGCTTTCGTGGGTAAGAACCTCACTTCTTCAGATGCAAGACAAGTGTAGACAAGAAATCTGATGTGCAGGAACAAGGGGCACCTCTTCATCCACCTGGATCTTTGTATGCTGACATTTATATAATTGTGATCAGCTTCAAAAGGTCAACTACTGTTGCAGGAAATCAGAAAAATCTGCTTCATAGTACTAGTTATTCATTTATTCTTTCACATTTGTTACCATTGACCCTTCATTTGTTAGTATTTTGCATTTTTCTTTAAAGTTCTCACCATTACATCTTCACCAGTAGAAGCCAGGATGGCAGTGCTAGTGTAGACAGGCAGCTGGTGTCTGTTAGCATTATAATCACCAGCCGTAATTATGGTAGTAAAATAGGAATATTTGAAGAAAAGAAAAAAAACCCTTAGTTGCCAAGTGGGTGCTCCTTATTCATAGACAGATAATAACAAAATGGAGGCCATTTGGTAAATTAAATTTTGATTTGGAATGTAGGAGGGGATACAGGAAACTTTTATTGTAGACCTCCTGTATAAACCACAAGTCTTGACAGGATTTGATTTTAATCAATAAAGGCTGATTTCAGTGTGTCTGCTGAAATTATCATTATCAGTCAGCGTGATCGCGGTCCTCCCCCCAGCAGCACCTTACACCTGCATGGATCAGATGTCAGCAGCACAGCAGCAACTCAGAGAGCCCTCTGCAGCCCTGCTGCCATGGACCTGCTCTCTCACTTGCCAGGTGGGAGCCCTGCCAGGACTCACCCACTCACTCACTCCTGTGACATCAGAACTGCAGAAGGTTCCCTGCAGGGCTGAGTGGCTGCTGACATGTGATCCCTGCAGGCACAAGGTTGGGGGGTGAAAGGCTGCAATCCTGGCAGAGCAGAGCAGACTCTCCTGTCTAGGACAGCAAAGGGGAGGAGGACAATGAGCCCTGGCCCCGACAGGAACCATTTAGCAGTGGGATGGCCTCCCCTGTATTGGGGCTTATCTATGCCACTGACTCCCTGCCGAAACTTAAATTAGATTGAATTAAAATTGATAGAAATAGGGGGGAAAAGTTTGTAAAAATAGATTTCCATCAAAATTAAAAAAATATAAAATTCTGCCAAAACTAATAACTTTGTGGTAGAAGAAGCCTTCCAAATGGTTTGATTATTTCTTCCCATCATAAGTCATCAGTGTCAATTATTACGTGGTTCAAGATATGAAAGACATTTTTATATATATATATAAATATATATATAAAAATAAAAAAAGAACACTGGTTTTCAATCTTTTTTCATTTGCATAAATTTCAAATGGGCATGCGGACCCCTTTGGAAATCTTGGACATAGTCTGCAGGCCGACAAGGGTCCGTGGACCACAGGTTGAAAACCACTGTCCTAGAACATCCCACTTGCAGGATATCTATTAAATTGCCATGTGTGTATAGCTTTTCTAGAGTACCTGGCATTTGGGATGGCATGAGCTTTATACTTCTATTACCTGTTTCCCTGTAGGAGTGAAAGTAATTGCATTTCTCTTGTATTGCACAGTTGGATTTTCAGCATTAATTCTTTCAAAAGTGGTGATTATGCTTCTATATTTTGATCGAAACTGATGAAGTGATATTGCCTTACTGCAAATTATTTAAATACTGAACAACACAATACTTGGTTTCTAGAGGAAAGCAAATCGTACATATATATCATGGTAACAGCAATTCAAAATGCATAGAAGGTGTTTAGAAATCTGGTTTCAAATAATGTAATACTTATAACATTGGCAAAGTTTGTTGCATCATAGTAACTGGTTGAGAAGTATAAGGGCTTCCTCCAGTTTAACACCCTGTGTGCATCTTGATATAGATAGTAGGAAGCCAGATTTTGAAACATTGACTCCATGCATTACTAGCTAGCTACCTGGTTTACTTGTGCAAATGAAAATTTTGCATAGGAACCTGCTTCTACATGCAAAATGTTCCTGCCCATTGTTAGAGGCAGGATCAAAAATATACCCTGCAGTATATCATACACCTTGCAACTTTTGATTCAAAAGCTTATTTGTCTATGTAATGGTAGTTTTTCTATGTCCCTACAAAAAGCATTATAATTTTGATAAAATGTAGTTCATTCAACTTGTATTCATGCCATATTTTCAAAACTACTAGATAGTAACAGTACTTAGAACGTTAAATAGCACCTTTTTTCTAACATTCACAAAGTGCTTCACAATATTAATTGATTAAACCTAACAATGCTCCTATAACAGGGACGGGTGAACTTTTTTTGGCCTGAGGGCCACATCGGGTTTCGGAAATTGTATGGAGGGCCGGTTAGAGGAGGCTGTGCCTCCCCAAACAGCCAGGCATGGCTCGGCCCCAGCCCCTGCCCCTGCCCCTATCCCCCCACTGCTTCTTGCCCCCGGGACCCCTGCCCCATCTACCTTCCCCGCCGCCCTGTCCCCTGACTGCCCCCCCGCCACCCCATACAACCCCTCCTTTCATTCCTGACTGCCCCGCCCCAGGACCCCTGCCCCATCCAACCACCCCTTCTCCTTGACCACCCCCGGAACTTCTGCCCTGACTGCCCCCTGCTGTCCCATCCAACCCCCCCTCCTTCCTGACTGCCCCCACAACGAGCCTTTCAGGTACAGCAATGGAGAAGCCAGACAGCGTTGATGGCCCATTATGGGGAATCCACACTACCAAAGACTATCATAGGATCTGTGTACAGTGAAGACTTCTGAGACGGAAAACACAGACAATGGACACTGCTTGATTCATATCAAAGGATCTTTGCAGCAAGCTGGAAGAAACTATAAAAGAGGGGAAGTGACATCATCAAATTGCCTCTCTCCCTCCACAGCTCAACTCCTGGAAACATGTCTGGAGAACAAAGATTGAACTGGGGAGGTGATCCCTGGCTGAAAAGAGGAAGCCCAGTTTGCTTGGAAGGAACTTTATGAAGGAATTTTACCATCGGGTTGAGACACTGCTTGATTCAAATCCTGTCTAGTTTATAGAACACAGATTGTGATTTTACTTTTATTTCTTAGGTAATCAACTTTGATCTGTATGCTTATTATTTATAATCACTTAAAATCTACGTTTCTGTAGTTAATCTGTTTTATATTTTATGTAAAACAGTGAGTTTTGCTTGAGGTGCTTGTAGAATCTGCTCAGTTTACAAAAGCTGCTACAAAAGCCGCCCCCTCCCTCAGTGTGGAAGGATTGGGTAATAAACTTACACTAGTCAGGCTTCTGCTCAGGGCAAGATGGTACAGCCCTGGGGTCCTGAGCTGGGGGAATTGGCTGGAGCCTCTATTGTTAGTTCATGAGTAGCTAGAAGCATTCATGTAACTCAGCTGGGTGTGTCCCTTCCTGTGGATGGCAGTGTAGGTGTGGAACCTGGAAAGGATTGTTGTTTGTCACAGCATCACAGTGTGAGAAGGGGCCCAGATTAGTATGCCAGAGGGCTCAGTGGTACCCCGGTTTCAGGTTGCACCCCAGGGAACCTGTCTCAGGGATATTGATAATCATAGCTGTGGAGATAAGTCTGCAGGTTTTGCATCTGTTGTTCTGGCAGGGTCTGGCGCTGCTTTGAGTTCGTGTGTCCTGGTCTATGGGGAGTTTGCTTCTGATGATGAGCTTGGTGAGCTTTGGGAGCAGAGGGGGGTTCAGGAAAGAATTGTTTTATGGTGTAGTCTCCATCAAGTATGAGTTGTAATTGTTTGATGATACCCTGTATGGGTTCCGGTGTTGGGTGACAACCAGGGGTATGTGATAAACAGCAGTAGATATCTATAGCTAGGCACTCAGATACCACAAAATGTGCCTCGAGAAGTTAGTCTGGGATACACACCTGAACACATTTAAAACTGCCTTCGCAAAACAAGGACACTACACCAGAGAAGGTGATTTGTGTCATGGAACTGGCTATCCAGATATCCCAAGAGAACCTGCTTCAATACAGGGCGGGGGGGGAACCCACTAACCACACAACAGATTAATGTTGGGAATAGGGTTCGATTGCAGGGCTCCTGTGTCTTTTTATCCCCATATTCCAACCATAAAACTCTTTACTCATTAAGGAAGAGAATTTTAACCGTGAACGCAAGCAGCAAATGGGAGTTTTGGAGAGCAAATGTGAGAGGCTTTCCTCCTTCCAGATTCAGCATTATGTGTGATAAGACCACCAAAGATGTAGCAGTGGTTGTGACTTGCAGTGGGTGTACCATGTTCTCTTTCCAGCCTGAAGGCAGAGGGGATTTCACATGCATA